CTGTGTGTACCCTATAACCCTAGTACATATGTCGTATTTTCTGTATCGATTCTCTATATCCCTTATAACCCTAGTACATATGTCGTATTTTCTGTACCCATTCTGTGTGTACCCTACAACCCTAGTTCATATGTCGTATTTTCTGTATCGATTCTCTATATCCCTTATAACCCTAGTACATCATATGTCGTATTTTCTGTACCGATTCCGTATATCCCCTATAACCCTAGTACATATGTCCTATTTTCTGTACCGATTCTGTATATCCCCTATAACCCTAGTACACATGTCGTATTGTCTGTACCGATTCTGTATACCCCCTATAACCCTAGTACATATGTCGTAGTTTCTGTACCGATTCTGTGTATACCCTATAACCCTAGTACATATGTCGTATTTTGTGTATCGATTCTCTATATCCCTTATAACCCTAGTACATCATATGTCGTATTTTCTGTACCGATTCTCTATATCCCCTATAACCCCAGTACATATGTCGTATTTTCTGTACCGATTCTTCATATCCCCTATAACCCTAGTACATATGTTGTATTTGCTGTACCGATTCTGTGTGTCCCCTATAACCCTAGTACATAAGTCGTATTTTGTGTACCGATTCTGTGTATACCCTATAACCCTAGTACACATGTCGTATTTTCGCTACTGCTTCTGTATATCCCCTATAACCCTAGTACACATGTCGTATTGTCTGTACCGATTCTGTATACCCCCTATAACCCTAGTACATATGTCGTAGTTTCTGTACCGATTCTGTATATCCCCAATAACCCTAGTACATATGTTGTATTTCTGTACCGATTCTGTGTGTCCCCTCTAACCCTAGTACATAGGTTGTATTTTCTGTACCGATTCTGTATATCACCAATAACCCTAGTACATATGTTGTATTTCTGTACCGATTCTGTGTGTCCCCTATAACCCTAGTACATCGGTTGTATTTTCTGTACCGATTCTGTATATCCCCTATAACCCTAGTATATATGTCGTATTTTCTGTACCGATTCTGTGTATACCCTATAACCCTAGTACATATGTCGTATTTTCTGTACTGATTCTGTATATCCCCTATAACCCTAGTACATAAGTCGTATTTTGTGTACCGATTCTGTGTATACCCTATAACCCTAGTACACATGTCGTATTTTCTGTACCGATTCTGTGTGTCCCCTATAACCCTAGTACATAGGTTGTATTTTCTGTACCGATTCTGTATATCCCCAATAACCCTAGTACATATGTTGTATTTCTGTACCGATTCTGTGTGTCCCCTATAACCCTAGTACATATGTTGTATTTGCTGTACCGATTCTGTGTGTCCCCTATAACCCTAGTACATAAGTCGTTTTTTCTGTACCGATTCTGTGTATCCCCTATAACCCTAGTACATATGTCGTATTTTCTGTACCGATTCTGTATATCCACTATAACCCTGGTACATAAGTCGTATTTTCTGTACCGATTCTGTGTATCCCCTATAACTCTAGTACATATGTCGTGTTTTCTGTACCGATTCTGTATATCCCCTATAACCCTAGTACATATGTAGTATTTTCTGTACCGATTCTGTATATCCACTATACCCCTGGTACATAAGTCGTATTTTCTGTACCGATTCTGGATATCCCCTATAACCCTAGTACATATGTTGTATTTCTGTACCGATTCTGTGTGTACCCTATAACCCTAGTCCATATGTCGTATTTTCCGTACCGATTCTGTATATCCACTATAACCCTGGTACATAAGTCGTATTTTCTGTACCGATTCTGTGTGTACCCTATAACCCTAGTACATATGTCGTATTTTACGTACCGATTCTGTGTATTCCTTATAACCCTAGTACATATGTCATATTTTCTGTACCGATTCTGTGTATCCCCTATAACCCTAGTACATAGGTCGTATTTTCTGTACCGTTTCTGTATATCCCCTATACCCCTGGCACATATGTCGGATTTTCTGTACCGATTCCCTATATCCCCTATAACCCCGGCACATATGTCGTATTTTACGTACCGATAACCCTAGTACACATGTCGTACTTTCTGTACCGATTCTGTATATCCCCAATACCCCTAGTACATATGTCGTGTTTTCTGTACCGTTTCTCTATATCCCCTATAACCCAAGTACATATGTCGTATTTTCTGTACCGATTCTGTATATCCCCTATAACCCTGGCACATATGTCGTATTTTCTGTACCGATTCTCTATATCCCCTATAACCCTAGTAAATATATTGTATGTTCTGTACCGATTCTCTATATCCCCTATAACCCCAGTACATATGTCGTGTTTTCTGTACCGATTCTGTATATCCCCTATAACCCTAGTACATATGTCGTATTTTCTCTACCGATTCTGTATATCCCCTTTAACCCTAGCACATATGTCGTATTTTCTGTACCGATTCTTTTTATCCCCTATAACCCAAGTAAATATATTGTATGTTCTCTACCGATTCTCTATATCCCCTATAACCCCAGTACATATGTCGTGTTTTCTGTACCGATTCTGTATATCCCCTCTAACCATAGTACATATGTCGTATTTTCTGTACCGATTCTTTTTATCCCCTATAACACAAGTAAATATATTGTATGTTCTCTACCGATTCTCTATATCCCCTATACCCCAGTACATATGTCGTGTTTTCTGTACCGATTCTGTATATCCCCTCTAACCATAGTACATATGTCGTATTTTCTGTACCGATTCGGTGTATCCCCTATAACCCTAGTACATATGTCGTAGTTTCTGTACCGATTCTGTGTATCCCCTATAACCCTAGTACACATGTCGTATTTTCTGTACCGATTCTGTGTTTCCTCTATAACCCAAGTATATATATCGTATTTTCTGTACTGATTCTGTATAGCCCCTATAACCCTAGTATATATGTTGTATTTTCTGTACCGATTCTGTGTATCCCCTATAACCCTAGTACACATGTCGTATTTTCTCTACTGATTCTGTATAGCCCCTATAACCCTAGTACATATGTCGTATTTTCTGTACCGAATCTGTATATCCACTATAACCCTAGTACATAAGTCGTATTTTCTTTACCGATTCTGTGTGTCCCCTATAACCCTAGGACATATGTCGTATTTTCTGTACCGATTCTGTGTGTCCTCTATAACCCTAGTACATATGTCGTATTTTCTGTACCGATTCTGTGTGTCCCCTATAACCCTAGTACATATGTCGTATTTTCTGTACCGAATCTGTATATCCACTATAACCCTAGTACATAAGTCGTATTTTCTGTACCGATTCTGTGTGTCCCCTGTAACCCTAGTACACCTGTCGTATTTTCTGTACCAATTCTGTGTGTCCCCTATATCCCTACATATGTCGTATATTCTGTACCGATTCTGTGTTTCCCCTATAACCCTAGTACATATGTCGTATTTTCGGTACCGATTCTGTGTGTCCCCTATAACCCTAGTACATATGTCGTATTTTCTGTACCGATTCTGTGTGTCCCCTGTAACCCTAGTACACATGTCGTATTTTCTGTACCAATTCTGTGTGTCCCCTATAACCCTACATATGTCGTATATTCTGTACCGATTCTGTGTATCCCCTATAACCCTAGTACATATATCGTATTTTCTGTACCGATTCTGTGTATCCCCTATATCATCTGTGCCAATATCGTATTTCTGTAACAACTCTCGGTGTGTCCCCTATGTCCTTAGTACAAATATTGTTTTTTCTGTACCGATTCTGTATATCACAAATTACTCTAGAACATATATCGTATCTTCTGTACCGCTGATGTACGTGAGTCCCCAATATTGATAACCTTATAGTATTTATATCGTATCTTCTGTACCGATTATGTGTGTCTCCAATTACCCTTTAACATAATTATATCGTATCTTCTGTACCGATTCTGTGTGTTCCCTGTCACCCTAGTACATACAGTATATCGTATATTTTTTGTACCGAATCTTGGTTTTCCCCTACAACCCTAGTAAAAGGGGTATATGGATGGTTGGATGGCGCAGTGGATAACGCATTTTCTTGCCTTTCACCAAAGCGGCCGGAGCTCGTTTTCCTGATCGGACGAGAAACGGTATTTGGTCACGTACCTGACCACGTGGGTTTTCCCCGGGTTCTTTGGTTCCCTCCCACATAAGGACCCTCCACGCACTTACTTGTTTCATAATTGTTGGAAGATAAATTTTTTGTTATATTCAACCCTGGTGAATTTGTCATATTTTGTGTACCAATTTTAATAACTTGCATGAAAATAAAATATGTATAAACTATTCTTTAAACATTCCTTTTTCGGGTCAGTATATGGGTCCCAGACGGACAGGAGGGTAGATATATATAGTCACTTGTTTTCTCCGTCTACATCGTCTGACCCGGGGGCTAAATCAGATTGTTTCGGTTCACTACGCATCACTTGGAGTGGGAGAGCCTTATTCGTGTGTTTGCGTCACGCCGGACAGTGTCCAGTGTTCCTCTGTTTAGATTTCGGAAGTATGACGTCGGAATGGACGGATTTTATCACGAACACGATTTTAAACTGACCATTCAACCGAAATTAAAAAATAGCCAAAAGGCACGTCAGATAAGTAATTTCGAACCATTATTTTGACCACTCGCTTCAGGCTCGTTAACTAGATTATTTAAAATACAGGTATCTTAATTTAGTTGTCAGTGCGGGTACTTGTCACCAAACTGGACATCACCAAGAGGCTGTAGAAATGAAGTGGTCCATACCTGTCCTGGCTTTATGTATGTTTGTATACGTGGAATGTGCTACAAAGCAGTTTCAGAAGTCCCGAACTGTTAAAGGTAAGAAAGTCGGCACGTTTATTTTTGCCTTTTTACAGGGAGAGAGAAAACTAATGTCTCCAAATGTCGGATACTTTGATTTTTATGACGTAAAAGAACGTAAATCGTCCAGTATTTGTTTTTCAAAGGGTCAGGCATTAACTATAAGTTAAAGCCACCTTGTGGATGAGACAAGAAGACTTATTTGATCCTTTTATGTACTTTAAAAGAATCTTGCGGTCGCATAACGGTAAATGCTCCCCGGTGATCTTCAAAGGATAGGTATCAGCCTGCGATTGGTCAGGTTTAATATATAGAGATACACACATACCACATAGTACCGACAAACCGCTATAAAATGAACAAAATTACTTCAACGCGCTCATGAAATCTTACCTTTTTTTGTTTCTACTGTTCTTCCATACAAATACAGGGCTCGTATTCATGTATACGTAACCGTTCTCAAGATCAAACATTGAATCTGTACTCGACCCAGCTTTATTTGTAACTCATTTAAATCATGACAATGGATCAAAAAGTCAAATGTAAACATTAAAAACAGTATTCTGCTTTAAGTCTCTTAACTTTTTTTTCCAAATCATTGACAAAATATTTATTCTGTATTAACATATCAAGGGAACGAGAAATTAGGCTTGAGCAAAAAAAACATGATTGAGCATGACAACGGTTTCACGAATACGGGCCCAGATTTACCAAGTCATTCGTGTATAGACACATGCGTGAGGGGAATTTGAGAATAACAATTGATGTATCCCAATGTCAGCCTCATTAACAGAATTCCATGCCTTGCATCGAGATTCGGTTATACCTTTGAGGAAGGGTGTTGCTTTCCCCACTTGCCTAGAGTGGAGTGTATACGGTCTGGTGTGGGCATTACCGCATCCTCGACACCCAAGGGGTTACGCTCATCTTCGCTCTCTAGTAGCTCAATTCAATTCAATTCAACTTTATTCTCTTTCACAATACAATGTATAGAGAAACATATTTACAGTATGAAACATATTTACAGTATAATATATAGTAATTGTAGTGTTTGCAGTCGGTAGTACACAGTACTGTTTCATAATAAGTGCATATTTGTATCGAGGAGGTCAAATATTGTTATTAATTATTCTGATAAAAGTACAAAATTTCTTCAGTGCTTTTATATTAGTAGTATTCATTGATTCATAGAACTTAATTACATTTGGTCTCATCCAAAAATATTTATCTATAATTAAAATTCGATACCCAGACAGTGACGGACACTCAAGCAAGTAACGGAATTCGTCACCAATTTGCTGACTGTTAGTGTGGAAATTTTCTTTCATTATACTCTATATAATGCCATCTGCCGGTTTCAACAATAAATTTGTGATTGGTAGTCTTAAATTTACAAAGGGTAACTCTATCTGTATCACTTAAAATATCTAAGTAATTTTCAAATTGACAATTATTTTTAAAAATCCAATAACATGTAGCTTTTGATGAAGTGTGTACATCACTCTGCCATTTCTGTAAATACTGGTCGTACAATCTTTGTTTAATAACATGCTTTAGCCATGTGATATTGCATTCTGAAGTGTATTGGACATTCCATAAGTAACTCATGCCACATTCATTTAAAATAAGTTTAATAAAGCTTATCTATGGAACCGGTTTATCATCAACATTATGGTGATGGCAAAGAAGTTTATACAATATAATATTAATTTTATTTTCTTTAGAATGAGTCAGTTGTGACCAATATGTTATTATTCTTGTTTTTACTGTTATTTCAAGTGGGCTAGTACCTAGTTGTCCATATACCATATAATTAGGGGTGCTACTTTTTAACCCTTGTAATAATTTACAAAACTTTAAATGTACACGTTCAATTACATTAAGGTCAGTACGACCCCAAACAACAGTATGGATTTTACAATCTTGTCAAATAAATCATATATACAATGAACTGATAAGTTATGTAGTCTATCTTTCTTTATAACGTCATACATTGCTATAGTAGCCTTTTTAATATTGTATTTTTTCGTTTCATTGAATGAACCAGTACGACTAAATGCCGTACCCAAACAGGTAAAATTGTCCACTAACTCTATCCCCTCATTATTAAATAAAAATACGTTTCTATTGTTTTTACGGCCTTTACTAAACACTATACATTTGGTTTTTCCTATATTTGCCTTTAATTTCCACTGTTTACAGTATTCACTGAATACATTTAATTGTAGTTGCAAGTCAACTGGACAGTCTGAGAAAAAGTAGTGTATCATCAACATAGAGTAAAATAAAAAGCTTTATGTATACATGTAGATCATTTTCTAATTTAGTACTAAGGTTTGTCAAACACTGAACGTTATTTTGGACCATACACTCCAGCTGTACCCCTGGAATATGTCGCAGCAAAATGGAAGTCTCAGTGTGCGCCACCTTGTGGACGAGACAAAAAGACTAATTTGATTCTTTTATGCACATCAAAAGAATCTTGCGGTCGCAAAACGGTAAAACTTACTCACTTTGAAGTCGGGTGTCGCTCCTCTGTAATCTCCAAAGGACAGGTATCAGCCTAGCAATTGGGCAGGGTATTTTAACATGAGACCAATCAAATAGCTAGTCGCCTTTAATTTTGCTATGACATATTTCAGTGGTGCAGAAAGCGAAAGTGAGCGTAAGTCAAGGAGTATCGAGGATTACATTACCGTTAATGTGCTTTGGTTTACAAGTCCATTAGCACTTTAAAAGAGCCTTTTTTTGATACAGCCAAAACAGACAGAACCGCTTTAACTCATCAATATATCTCAATTTTCGTCTTAATAAGGCAAAATCAAGACGTTTGAAGACGCACAAATCTGTGCATTTCTGTTATGCGTATACAAACATCATATATACATCATAATTATTATACATTTTGCTAGATTTTTTTCAGAGCCTTAATATAAATATCACTTTACATTTGTTGTTTTATTTTTATATAGTTTTTAATTTAATTTCTAATTTAATATTTATATTTATTTTGTTTTAATTTCAATTTTTATAATTATTGTTTTTTAAAATATTGACTAAAATAAGGTATTTTTTTCAGACACAGAGTTACTTCCCTTGTCAAGTTATTCATTTATCATTTTGATGCTTCGCATATAACTCACGTATATCAGTGAATGTAATACATGTATATACGTCTCTGTGGATAGGTTTAGATTTGGCAAAGGAGAGTTTCCGAGCTTTGAACTTGTTGTTTTTCTTATATGTATATATATATTGTTAAATACTCAAATTTTGAGCAATGATAATTATGCAAAAGATAGACGAATCGCAAGATAGGATTTCTTCGGAATGGCTCTGTAGAAAATATTCCGTTAATAATATGCAGGAGGCACGGTAGTTTAATGGTAGGACACCAGGTTCATGACCGAAGGGTTGCGGGTTCGAGTCACGGCACTTTGTTGTATCTTTGAACAAGATACTTTATTCCACTTGTTCCAGTATACTTATACTTATACGAGTACGTGGCTGAGCAGTGCTAGAAAAGTAGAATGCTAGCTGTGAGCGCCGAAATGGCAGCAGCGGCTGTAAGCTCCTTGGGGAGTTGAGGAAGATATTGGCTGGTTGCAAAGGCCCTATAACCACGGATAATAATTTGTGAACCGCTTTGAGACAACCTACGAACTAGGTTGTGATAAAGCGGTATATATAAGAACCTCCAATTATATGACTCTTCTTCAACTTAACGGTACCTCTGTCAGTGACATGCACCAGTTAACTGTCAAAAACGGATGTCAGATTGAATTATAAGTGTTCATCTTTTTTAATAATCACTGTTCATTTTTTCGTCAACTTTTCTCAGTCAGGTTTGGGAGGTAGCCGGAATACCCGGCAAAACCCATATGGTACTAGGGCAGGTAACCCAATACCTTTTCGCATACGATCGAGTTTTCAAACCCCGGCAATCTTGTGATAGGTGATCGATAGAGTGCGCCTTCTTCGCGAAAGAGCAGATAACTAGGCGCAAACGTTTTGATGTTTTACTCTTGGTTTGACCCCCTTACACTTTTTAAGATTAAAGGTCACATTGAATAAATCTCCTTTGTTAATGGTAATACATTCGACATTTATCAAGGGTCAACGATCAATATCCAAATTTCGGCCAATCAGTAGCCAGTATATGGCGGTCATTTTGTCAAATCAGGAAGCAGACTCCGCAGCAGTGTTAACAGTACCATAGTTCATTTGCCTAGCAAATTTGAGCGAAATCGGTCAATATCTAAATTTTAACCAATCAGGAGCCAGCCTACATCGGACGAATGATGATTTTGTCGAAAAAAATAAACTTTGTTAGCCCATACGTAAGGTATGTTGTATGAGCATCTAGTTCCCAAACTTTCACTTTAGTGTACAAAATAGATCAAAAGTTATAGCCCTATGCGTCTCAGCCAAACACAAGCCGCGGCAGACATCTTTGATGGACAATCGAAAAATGAAACGAGTAATGCACATCCATATATACTTGCCTAGATGATCCGAAAGGTAGTCTCTTGGGAAACCCCTGTAAACAAATTTTGCAGAAGAAAATTGATAATAAGAAAAAGAAGAGGAGAAGAATAGAATAATTAAAATAAAACGAAACACAGCAAACACAATAAGTGTCCCACTTATTTTGGAGGACTTTATTAGTCAAATAGAAAATACCAAATTTTATTTTTTATATACATACGGATATTTAAATAGGTAATGTTACCTTAGTGTAGCAAACACCTTTGGAGTGAATTCAGTTAAAATAACAAAACGATAAACACAACAAAGTCTGATTCACAAAATGCACAAAACATGTGCCCCCGGGAAATCGCCGATTCTACAATTCATACGAAGTGAAAAGTACAAACTACTGACTAGACAGAACAATAATATACAACTCAATACATGTGTTGTAAGATGGTTTATCCCCTCAGGCACACACACGACTATCATAACAATGGGCTGTCTTTGTTGCCCTGTCAGTGACCTTTCAGTAAATATTTGAAAAACATTTAGAGGTTAAGGTCAGCCCTGATAGTCAAAATCATTGGTCAATAACACGGTAGTGGTCAATCCTAATAGTTAGACCCTTGATCAACACACTGTACGTAGTGGTCGTTCCTGGTGGTGGTTAAGGCGTCTTACATTCTGCTACCACTAGCCCTCCTCCACTGGGTCGCGGGTTCGAGACCTACGTGGTGCATTTGCTAGGTAGTGGCCGTTGGTCGGTGGTTTTCCTCCGAGAACTCCGGCTTTCCTGCACCAAATGATCAAAGCTGTTAATAGGACGTAAAACAAACAAACAAACAAACCAAACAAACCAAAACAGAAACGAATGATATAAGAAACTCTAACGGTACATTAAATCTCTTAATCTAGGAATATTCTAAGCTGATCAACTAGTTTATTTAGTCTGAGGGGTACGGCCCCTGGTCAAGGTTATCTTCAGATGATGGTATCTCATTTATCTACGTGCTCTGCTGACCCGTTAAAAGTTCATTTCAATACGTTAATTGGGCTTGTTTGTCTATTTTGAGATCTTTAAGGTCTGTCGTGACTGTCTTTACACGCTAGAGTGACCACCGTGACGCGAAATGTCTGCCCAGTGGTCATCTATGCTGGGATGGTCAGTGATTAGCTTTAATTGTGTATCACGAACTTGAACTTGAATTTGAACGAATGACGCCAGAACAAACATCAACCCTACCCTCTAGCCATCGAGGAGTTTAAACACAACACCAAAAGAACTTTTACACAGCAATACAATATTGTATACCCTGTTGTTTGTTCGTTTTGTTTTGTTTTTCTTTCTTTAATTTCTTTCTTTCTTTCTGACGTATGCACGTGTTTACCGTGATCGTACGTTACACGTATTTAAAGATTGTACTAATGGTTTATCGCAAATAATATAAAATTGTTTCGACAAAAATTACGTCATAATGTTCATCGTTTGCTAAGATTAGGCTCTCCTACATGCAGTTTGGTATATTGTTAGTTGCTTCTGAATAAATGATTGGCCAAATGGACTGGAAGTACAGTAAATGAACACACTGTAAATGACGTAGTTAACGATGTTGCCAAACAGATATTGATGTTCTTGCCCTAGCAACGAAGTGATATAAACACTTGCATAGTTACGAAGTTGTATCAACTATCATAGAAATGATCAATTGTTATGGTAATGAGTAATAAAAAATCGTTTTCATAGTTATGATGTTATATAATCATTTTCATAGATACGATGTAATATATTTACTCCATAGTAATGAGGTTAGACGATCACTTCGATAGCTACAATGTTGTATAGTTATACTGACATGTAACGACATGATATCATCTAGTTCTAGTTCTTTATTAGCCAAAAGCCCTTAGGTTTATAGGTACATACATTTATGCATATAACATTCTCTAAACATAATCACTACTATAGGATGCACGGTAGTCTAGTGGTAGGACGCCAGGCTCGTGACCGAAGGGTTGTGGGTTCGAGTCACGGCACGGAACTGGGTTGTATCTTTGATCAAGATACTTTACTCGGCTTGTTCCAGTCTACTCAGCTGTAAATGAGTGCGTGGTTGGGCAGGACTAGAATTGTTGAATGCTAACTGTTAGCGCCGAAATGGCAGCACCGGCTGTATGCTCCCAAGAGAGTTGAGAAAGATATTGACTAGTTGCAAAGGCCCAATAACCACGGATAATTATCGGTGAACAGCTTTACTTCAATAGTAACGAAGTTAATAATGTATAAATTATATAACCTCTGTTATAGTTATGAGGTTGTAAAATCACTTCAATAGTAACAAAACTATATACTCACTGTTATAGTAAAGAGGTTATATAATCACTTCCATGGTAACGAGGCTATATAATCACTGTTATAGTAACGAGGTCATATAATCACTGTTATAGTAACGAGGTCATATAGTCACTGTTATAGTAACGAGGTCATATAATCACTGTTAATAGAAAAGAGGTTACATAATCACTTCCATGGTAACGAGACTATATAATCACTATTATAGTAACGAGATTATATAATCACTGTTATAGTAATGAGACTATATAATCACTGAGATAGTAACGAGATTATATAATCACTGAGATAGTAACGAGATGATATAATCACTGTTATAGTAATGAGACTATATAGTCACTGGTATAGTGACGAGATTATATAATCACTGCTATGGTAACGAGATTATATAATCACTGAGATAGTAACGAGATTATATAATCACTGAGATAGTAACGAGATTATATAATCACTGAGATAGTAACGAGATGATATAATCACTGTTATAGTAATGAGACTATATAGTCACTGGTATAGTGACGAGATTATATAATCACTGCTATGGTAACGAGATTATATAATCACTGAGATAGTAACGAGATTATATAATCACTGAGATAGTAACGAGATTATATAATCACTGAGATAGTAACGAGATGATATAATCACTGTTATAGTAATGAGACTATATAGTCACTGGTATAGTGACGAGATTATATAATCACTGCTATGGTAACGAGATTATATAATCACTGCTATAGTAACGAGATTATATAATCACTGTTATAGTAACGAGATTATATAATCACTGTTATAGTAATGAGATTATATAATCACTGAGATAGTAACGAGATTATATAATCACTGTTATAGTAATGAGATTATATAATCACTGCTATAGTAACGAGATTATATAATCACTGAGATAGTAACGAGATTATATAATAACTGCTATAGTAACGAGATTATATAATCACTGAGATAGTAACGAGATTATATAATCACTGTTATAGTAATGAGACTATATAGTCACTGCTATAGTGACGAGATTATATAATCACTGCTATGGTAACGAGATTATATATTTACTGCTATAGTAACGAGATTATATAATCACTGTTATAGTAACGAGATTATATACTCACTGCTATAGTAACGAGATTATATAATTACTGCTATGGTAACGGGATTATATAATCACTGCTATGGTTACAAGATTATGTAATCACTGCTATAGTAACGAGAACATATAATCACTGCCCTAGTAACGAGGCTATATAATCACTGTTATAGTAACGAGGTTATATAATCACTCTTATAGTAACGAGGTCATATAATCACTGTTATAGTAAATAGGTTATATAATCACTGCTATGGTAACGAGATTATATAATCACTGCTATAGTAACGAGATTATATAATCACTGTTATAGTAACGTGATTATATAATCATTGCTATAGTAACGAGATTATATAATCACTGCTATGGTAACGAGATTATATAATCACTGTTATAGTAACGAGATTATATACTCACTGCTATAGTAACGAGATTATATAATTACTGCTATGGTAACGGGATTATATACTCACTGTTATAGTAACGAGGTCATATACTCACTGTTATAGTAACGGGGTTATATAATCACTTCCATGGTAAAGAGGTTATATAATCACTTCCAAAGCATTAATGTTATAAAATCACGGTTACGGTAACGAGGCTATATAACATTTTCCATTGTTACGAGGTTATATCATCACTTCCATGGTAACGAGGTTATATTAATACCTCCATAGTAACGAGGCTATACAAACACCTCCATAGTTACGAGGTTATATCATCACCTCTATAGTAACGAGCCTATATAATCACCTCCATAGAAACGAGGTTATATAATCATTATTATGGTAACGAGGCTATATAATCACCTCCATAGTAACGAGGTTATATAATTTCTATTTATTATTTAAACAATGTTATATCGTCATTTTCAGATAATGAAAACAAACAAAAGATAGAGGAGATGATCAGAATAGTAAAGAAGCGATCTGCAGAGCGGAAGAAAATGGAGGAAACAAATAATGCGATTCAATCAAAGGTATAAAGCACTGTATAGTAGGCTGTAATGATGAACAGCAAACAAACTCAGCAGACAGGATCACGATCTAACTTACCCATGGTGTAAACAGTAAAAGGAAGTGACGTTATGCATTTAAACATGTTGACATATATTTTTTTACAATGACACTGATATCAGCTGGAAGAAGTATTTCAGGCATTCGTTCCTCTGCGGTGTCTTTTTTTTTTTACCTAATAAAGTTTGATATGAGATTTTGGGTCTTTAGACATAAATCAAAATCATTGATCGCTAGTTAGATATATACATAACTAAAAGAAAAAAGAAAAAAAACAAGCATACATGCAAAAAGCCATACTGCTCATAAAAGCTAAACACTTAACGATGAATAATGTCTGTGTTTGTTTATAAAAATGGTTCATCAACCATAAGTTTTCAATATTAATGCCTTGTTTCATCAGCCACTTTTTTATTTGCCCTTTTGTCAGTATATAAACACTACATTCATTAGCGTGTGGTAGTGCTTATGGTCACCTCGAGGCCGGGTATGGCTGTCACCCGAGGTAGCGACAGTTATAAGACACATGGAGTGACCCTAGACGCTGGTACACTCTAATGAAAAAACCCAACGACATGGCAGCTGAAACGAGCCGTATGCACATCTTTGCGGGGTCACTATTTTGCACCATCCCATCACACACATGTACACTGTGACTTGTTGCTAGGGCGTTGGGAAGAGCGTCTTCCATTGACTCAGTGTTAAAGCGTCTTCCATTGACTCAGTGTTAAAAGCGTCTTCCATTGACTCAGTGTTAACGCGTCTTCCATTGACTAAGTGTTAAAGCGTCTTCCATTGACTAAGTGTTAAAGCGACTTCCATTGACTCAGTGTTAAAGCGTCTTCCATTGACTCAGTGTTAAAAGCGTCTTCCATTGACTAAGTGTTAAAGCGTCTTCCATTGACTAAGTGTTAAAGCGACTTCCATTGACTAAGTGTTAAAGCGACTTCCATTGACTCAGTGTTAAAGCGTCTTCCATTGACTCAGTGTTAAAGCAAATGTGACGGTGTGAAATGGAATATTTAATTCGACCAATCAGATTACAGGATTCTCACTAGAGGAATAATGATAAACAATTCTCTGTATCACAGGATCGAGTAGTGCGGTCTGTCGAAGAGGAAACAGCAGACTCCAGCAACAGTCTCGGTTCACCAGACTTTGATGTCAAAGTAAGTTAGGGCGGGGAGGCGGAAACGGACTAACTATATGTAGTTTGTCAGTGGATGGAAGAGGGTTTTGGTAATGGTGTGTGGAAAAGGTTGGGTTTTGAGAGATTAGTAATTTTTCGGTTGCATTATTGTCAGTCATGCTACTAATATATCCATACTATATTTTTTAAAGCCACCGATACTCATGCTACTTAAATTCGGACAAGATGAAATAACCTGTATCAATTCTTGCTTGCTTTTAGAAAGTCGATCCTGACTCCGAACTCGCCCTGGAACTGGAGAGTATGTTAAACGCATACGACGGCAAACTACACAGGGTAAGAACAGGCACAAACACGGACAACTGTTCGAATGTAGATAAGACACTGTCTACTTACTCCATGAACGAGAAGATTTCACGATTTAGAAAGAAAGAAAAAAATGTATATAATGTAACAGTGGCGATATCGAAGACGAATATCATTTTATTGTTAAATGTAGTCATTATGTTATGCTAATTTAAGAAACCGTTTCATTAAAAACATTATAAAAAACGGGTATGGCAAAGTAAAGAACTGTCTAGTTAAGCAAACATTTCTGAGTCAAAGTCAAAATAGAGATTCAATACTGTTTAAGCTGAAATGAATCACTCTCTACGCTATCGCTCTAATTTGATCGTTTATGCATGGTCGGAGTGTTGTACATGTATTTTTGTTTGTATATATATGTTCTTTTTATTATTTCAACTGTATTTATGCACTGTACTGATAAACCGCAAGGTTTAAAGTAGTAAAGAATGAATGAATTAATGAATGAATGAACTTACTCTATTGGTAATCCCTAGCATGTTGGTAGTAAATATCATTTATGATGTGCGGTTCTACCAGAAATACCACAAGCTATACGATTTAGTTTGGTTTAGTATTATTAAACGTCCTATCAACAGCTATGGTCATTTAAGGACGGCCTCCCCCGTGTGCAAGTTGCATGCGTGTAGTGTAGGGGGGAGGGCTGGGGAGGCTGCGATATGTTCGTATTTGCATCCTTGTGATAGCGCGGACCTGATGCCGACTTTTTAGCGCTACCTCACGGAAACATACTGCCGAAGACACCCAATTAGGACGCCCCACCCGGTCACATTATACTGACAACGGGCGAACCAGTCGTCCCGCTCCCAAATTGCTGAGCGTTAAGCAGGAGAAGAAACTACCATTTTTACAGACTCTGGTATGCCTCGGCCAGGGGACAGAACCCAAAGCCTTCCTCACAGGGGCGAACGCTCAACTAGGCCAAAAATGAGGCATTGTCAAGGGAAACATTAGGAAGAAGAAAGTTGTTCAGAAAGAAGAAAAAGATAAGATCCCAAATTTAGTCGCCTCTTATGATCATGCAATGGGGGCAGCAGGTGCAATTCTTACGGCCTACCTGCAGAGACTCGAGCTATTAGAGTGAATTAACAGCCAGTCATACAGAATTATGAATTAAAATCGCCCGTTTATTGAAAACCCCACGAAAACTGAAAAAATGTATACAAAACATGTCGCATCTCATTTATCTTAATTACATGTACCCGTAGGTATAACGCCAAATTATAAGGCTTATGTGAGTTTTATAGGAGGCTGGCGGGAGAAGCGGGGTGGGGGTGGGG